CTCATGGACTTTTTTCCTTGCCTTTTTTTTTTTTTTAATTGTAAAACAGCTGTCACTTTTCACCCAGGAGATGGTTGTATTTTGATGTCACATTACTATCTCTATCCTACACGGTTATCAAAACCAGTGGAAACCTACCTCCAGGCAAAGCAACCTGCTTACAGTTGAGGAAAAAATTTTGCATCTTATTTACAGGGAAATTCAAAAATTTTGCACACAGAAGGAGTACAATGTAGAAGGAAAAACACAACAGTTTATTAAACGTGTTGTGATAAAATATCTAGATACAAAATAAATTATGTGCTCCAACTGGACAGACTTATAAAATGGTTTGATGACTCAAGTCTATTTAAAAGGTAATCTAAGCAAGCTGTGACTGCACAGACATTGCAACTAATCTAAAAGACATTAAAGTTTCCCTGACCTCTTAGAAGCAATCAGTTGAGCTAAAAACCTTATCAGGAGACCATGCTTGGCAGAAAACATAGAAACATATTTCAGTTAATGGTTCAGACCCACCTTGGTTGCTCTGGAAACTGACCATGGACTCTAAATTCTATCTCTGCTGTACAGTGCATTACTTATAGTACATGAATAATGGATACTATAAACAAGCATTACAAAGTGAAAATTCAGTTAACAATATTATGGAGCTTCCCTTCACAACCGTAGTTCATGAGAGATACAAATTTTATGGTTTTTATCACCAGCAAAAAAAATTTGCATATCCCATCACAGAGTTCTTGCAAGAACCCATTCTGCATTTCTTATCTCAGGGTTTTTATGCTAAGAAATACCGCATTAGGTCCAGTAATTTACATTTTTCCAATAAAATTCTAAATACATATGCAGTAGCTCTTTATTGAGTGACTTCATGTTATAAATTATAAGCTTGGAAGGAAATACATTAGGACAAATATTGACTTCCAAATAGTCACCATGAGTGAGATTTTATCCTGGTATTGAATTATCACACCTCTTGCCTTTTATAGCTCTATCTTATCTCTCAGTTACTATTACTTTGTGGCAAGTAAGTAAATAAATAACACTACCTCACTTCTGACAGTTTGATTCATTCAGTTCCATGCGGTAGAAACAGCAGGTACAAGTCTGTGCAAGGGTTTTCTAGCAGCTCTGCTCAGATAGACATTTTGGCATCTGCAACTATAATTAACAGTGATTTCAGTGTTTCCCATCACCAAGCATTGCAGGCTTTACTGTGGAAGCAGTAGGTGAAGTCCAGCGCCTGTTGGAAAAGATTAGCAAAAAAAGTAGCAGTACTGCTCTGGGATGTCACTGAATGAACACTGCCTGTTCATTCAACATGTCTGCTCCATGCTTTTTCAGCAACTCTTTAGTGGATAATCTCAGCCTTTACTACCTTAAAACCACAGTTACACGTGACATCTGGTTAGGAAACAGGAGCTCAGGTTGCAGTTACAACTGGATGACTCCATACTCCCATTTCCCCCACTTCGGAAGCAGCGCTGAGACTGCCCAAAAACCAGCTCCAGTAAAGTCAGCATGGAAATATAATTGGTGCAGCCTATGGACAGAACCTGTTGGCTGAAGAACTGCAGGAATACAGCAAAATCTGCCCAAAAACAGAGGTGGGGAAAGAACACAGATAGTACATCTTGGATACAGCAGTCTTCATGCTCACAAAGCTCCTGAATGGAGAAAGTGCGTGTCAGCCCTCACTGTGCCTCCAGCCCAGGGTGACTCTCTGTCTCCACCCCTTGCCTACAACCCAATGCCACCTTGTGCCCCGACTTGTGACCACCCTGGCTCCCACACCCTCCTGTTCACAGCTTGGCTGTGCTTTCCTTCCCAGGAAAGGGCAAGGAAATGGCTGTGACAAACTCTGCTTCCACAGCACCCGGTGGATACACATGGGCACGAGAAAGGCAAAGGGCCTTGGAGGGACACACAGCGAGGAGACCAACAGCAGCACAGAGAAAGTTTCTTCCCTGGTGAGGAAGGCCAGGGTGCAGCAGGCAGCTGGCTCACAGCAGGTGGAAGAAAACATGTGAATCCAAGGATGTGTCTCAGATGTTCTGGGTCATTCACTTCCAGGTCTAAGCTGGACAGCTGAGTTATATCTGAACTTATTTGTCAATTCAATCTGCTTTGTGGGAGTCAACAAAACCCAAGCTGTTGTTCCAAATATTTATTAAAAAATAACTGCAAGTGGAAAAGAAATATCAATAAGCAGTCCAATGGTAGATTTATTACAGTTTTAACAAGTAAAGGGAATGAATCTACTTTATGAACAAAAATAGCAATAGGAAAGTATACTGAACGATTCTTAATTAAACAATAAAATGGAAACAGCATATGCAATACACATTTATATATAAATATATTGGTTACATTCTTCTTAAATAGATTAAACAACATTCATTAGCAATATCCAAAAATATTTCTTCATGGCAAGAGAATCATCTTCTTTCACAGCACTACTGACTCTCCACAAGTTTCCACTACAAGAATCTTAGAGTTTGGGGCTAGAATAGGTATTCAACACCACCAGGTCAAATCTAGAGCAAGTGATTTGAAATCACTTTATGTGAGATCTCAGAGAGAGTTAAGGCCAGGTATGTAACAAGCGGAATTGTCAGAGCATGATTTAAGCGGTGGGATCCCCTTGAAATCTCAAATTTGGATTAAAGCTAGATTCCCACAGGTAAACTGTGACACTGCTCAGGATTCCCTGTTATAACACATTTCCCTTTTTCTGTAAACAACTGTTAACAAAAATAAATTCTCTGTACCCTGTTAACCATTTCTTAACATAAAAATAAGGAGCTGCTTGGGTAGTTTTTAAATAAGTCAATATAAAACTCTATCCTATCCTAAGTGCTGCCTCTATCAAAGTGCTAGCAAATGGCACAGTGTTCGAGGCCATGTTCCCTGCTTTTCATGGTTCATATTGCAAACCTCAGCTCCAGCAAGACTGAGCTCAGGACTCCAACCATGGTGGCTGCATCAGCCCGGCTCTGGGTACCTTCACTGGGCCACCCAGAGCCCTTCTAAACAGGTCATGCCAGGGCTCTTTTTGCTGTCAGATGGATAGTGCCCATCACAGACTCATCCCCACCCTGCACGTTCAGGTTGCTGCTCAGATCCACCCCAACACAGCAGGGACTGAGCCTGTGCCCTGTGGAGACCTGGGCAGGAGTTGGGCTCAGACCCAACAGCAGAAGACGAGCAGATTCCACTATCGTTTTGCATAGTTTGGTTCAGTGACTCTCTGTGAGTCCTGGAGAGATGACCTACCACCCTCCTGCTGCTCCCCTTCCTACCAGGTGTAGCAGGGACTCTCACAGCTTGCCTGTTTGGGACCTCTTTGGACTTGGTTTGGTTCAAATACTTGCTGGTTGTTACTTCAGAGCCTGAATAAGAAATAGTGCAAATACAAGCTTAAATTAAAAAAAAAACAAACCACATTGCCTTCACTGAACATTCAGTTAAAAAGACAAGGATCCATAAAGATGAAACCCCAGTTTTAGAGTATCTGAGATATTTGGCAAACATGCACAAGATTCTTCATGATTGTCTTAAAGGAGTACATTTCCCTTGGCGCTAGATGCCTCAAATTATTTGCTAATGTGAGTCTAACTAACACTGTCGTGGCTAATTGCAAATGACTTTGAAGAGTAGTCATGGAACACAGGACATCTCCCTGGCGCAACAGGACAAACACTCTCTGCAGTTATGGATTCCTCAGTGCTTTTCTTATCCTAGTTTCACTCCAAATGATTTTGCTTGCATGGAATGGTGTGAATTCACCCAGGGTGGTTTTTCTGGAAGGCGAACAGACCACGTTTTTTCTGAGGGTCAAAATACCTTTATTTGGCCATGCTCAGGCATATTAAGAGGCCAAAACAGAACTCTGTTTGATTCCTATTATGGGAGGCTGGCTGCAGTGCATTTTAAAACAACAATCATCTGAAGTGGCTGAGATGTTCAAGTTTGAAACTTCATAAAGTGCCAGGGCGCCCTACAAATGCAGGGACCCCCCCGGTACTGCAGAGACCCCACATGGCAGCAGGCACACTGCAGAACTCATGCAGAGTTTCTTGGCCCACTTAATGAAGGGGCTTAACTTCTCTCAACTCCTCTTCCCCCTAAAAATCAGCAGAACAAACATTCAGCAGCAAGTTGCTTTAAGCAAGCAACGCACAAATGGCTCGCTATCTTCACTATGGATTAGGCACACAGCCCGGCCAGGGGGTTGGGAAATCCTACATGCCTCCATCTCCAGGTGCCTACATGATACTGCAGAGCCTGGTCTCAAGTGTTTCAGGGTTCAGCCCTGGGAACTAGTCCTGCTTTGACTAGAACCAAAGAGAAAAGACTACTGTCTTCAACCAGGGGCAGGGCTGCCTGCTGTCCTCGCCGGGGGCTCAGACCTGCTCCTCTCCCCACAGCGCCCCTTAGTGCACCTGCACTAAGTCAGGTGTGCTAGCCTGCAGGCAGAGTTACACCAGGGGGAGTTCTACCTGTTGATTTTATGGGACAGTTTCAAAGCAAGATCTCCACATATTTAAAAGCATAAAGAGAAGAATTCACAATGAAACTAAGAAAACAAAGAAGTCATCATATTTACAGAGAGCTGCCATCACACACACTCTGTTAAAGAAATAGCCTTATCTTTGCCCATATGCTTGTTTCTAACGTGATAGTGGACTCCCCAGCACTTCAGGACGTTGTTTCCAATCATACAGATAGCTTTAACAGAATTGATGCATAATTATGCTTAAGAACCTTTTGTCTCCCAGCTCCATGCGTTAATTACAGTTTTATACATGAATAAAATTTAAAAAAAAAACCTCCACTTTTTCTCTCCACAGCAAATTCATGTTCTGTGGTGGGCAAAAGCAGGGATTTTTGGAAAATTACCTTCCCCTTTTCCCTTTTCATCCAAGTGTAAATGGTACCAGAACCTAAAAGTCAGCATCTGCATTACACAGATGGGACTCTGCTATGTTCTTTTCTTTTTTTATGATGTTCATGTAGCAGCGACTTGTAAGAGACATTTGGAATGAATGCTGGCCATGACAGGATACTGCCTAAATTAGAATCAGGCTCCAAGTATCTTCCTGCAATTAGATTATGTCATATGTTATATTCTTACTCATGGTCTGGGAAGGAGAGTGCAAGGGTACTTAATATTTGTAGATATTCAATTAAAATGAGTGCGTTAGACACTCACTGGTCTGGATTCTGCCTGCCTCACATCTAGTCCAGGCTTGCTTCTAAATCTTAAGAAGAAAGAAAAAGGGAAATGAACGCACACAGAGTGGAAGTCACCAGGCCCATACGTACACCTGCTGGCTAATACAGCCTTTACCTAACTAAAAGGTAAAAAGCCATGCAGTTTATATAGTTTTATATAGTATGGGTTAAGTTAATGCTAGAAAAATAGAATCCAGAGGGAGGGGAGAAAGGTTTACGTGTAATAAATGGCAATTTTGCTGTCTCCTGAAGGTTGCATTTCAAGCATAACTGCATTTCTCCATGCACTCTGAACGCTTCCCTTTTGGGGTACTGGCATGCTTGTGGCAAAAGCAACCAAACCTATTAATGAGGCACACAGTGAAAGACGGCACATAAAAAAAAAATCAGTCCTTTCCATTCTGACATTCCTCACTCGAAGCCTTGATGCCGCAGCAGGAAGCTAAGCATGAAAGGTAGCAGACTCCTTCCTTGCATGAGGGGCCAGGCAACACCAGCTGTGCAATGCACACAGTTAGAAATGCTCTTATATATTATATATACAATTGTAATCCAGAATAAATAGTATGTCCTGATTCATAAGTGTATTTCAGCGTGGTTGTTGTTGGTTGTTACGGCTGGAGAATGCTTGCTTTTCATCCCTTCTGTCCCGCCCTTGGACACGTCGATGAACAGCAATCTGGGAGTCCACAGCGTCAGCAATATCCTTTTGTACTCCTTCCTGAAATTCTGGTTAAGAAGCCCATAGATCACAGCATTGAGGCAGCTGTTGAAATAGGCCATAAAATAGCTCAGGACAAAAAGCCATTCTGGAATGTGTGGCTGCACTTTTGAAGGATTAATGGAAACAGCAAGGCCAATAAAGTTTAATGGTCCCCAGCACACAGCAAAAAGGACGAAAACCACAAACATAGTCAAGAAGTTCCGGATGTCAGCTGCTCTGAGCTTCTGCTTGCAGTCTTGTCTCACCCGGTGTTTGACCTGAATTACTAAAATCCAGATCCGTAGGTAGCAAAACGTCACGACGGACAGCGGGACGATGAAGTGAACCACCACCACTGTGATGGTGTAGGACGTACTCACCGTCTGGGCAAAGGTGCAGGAGTAAATCCGGGGGTCATACTGCAAGGAACCAACAAAGAAGTTTGGCACAATGGCCACCACCGTGAGTATCCAGGTCAGGCAGAGATAGCAGCAGGTGTTCTTCAGGTTGAAGAGCTTATCGTACCGAAGGCTGTGGCAGATGTAGCAATAGCGGTTGATTGCGATCGCCGTGATGTTGAAAATGGACCCGATGACACTTAAGCCCATCAGGAACCCGCTTATCTGGCAGTGGACATTTCCCATGGTCCATCCATTATGGAAGATGGCACTCAAGATCAGAGGGTATGGATAAACTGCAACTACAAGGTCTGCGACGGACAAACTGACGACAAAGATGTTGCCTACAGAAAAGAAAAAGAGACCACGAGAGGTTAACGTACGTCCAGATAGACAACTTGCAACTCAGAACTCCTCTTTAGGTCTAACTCTTCTCATGGGCTTCATTCTAGTCTCCTTTTGAAACTTGAAACCTTAGAAAATAAGACTTTGCTCTACTAGTAACAGCAGTGGAGAGTAACGAGGCACGATTAACCTGCATGTTTCCTCTTAGGAATATTCTAAACTGGAAGTGTTACCCTTAATTTGGCTATAGCTGTGGGTCAGGTATCTGTGGTCCTCTAAGTTGTGTAGGAGAGAAGGATTTTGCTCTCCTTGTTAATCAGCCAGCCCAACAATCTCTGTCCATCACAGGCCAAAGAAGTATGGCAGGCAGGTTACATTTCAGTGTTTATTTATTTCACTGACAGCACTTGCACGGGAAAGGTCTTTTTTAGTCTTTTGCATGTGAATAGGTGTATTTTCAGCAGAATCACTGCAATGTTCATGCTAAGGAGTGTGTGTTCTTCCAGGAGCCATGGTGTAGCCAGCCTTGTTATGCTTATTTGGTATATTTTCCTGTTCCTTTAATATTGAAGTTGTCCAACGCAATATAGAAGGTCAGTCACTCCTTCACTGCCTTGTCCTGGGCAGAGAATGTAATTAATAAGCTGCAGTCAGCCATTTCTGCAGAGTACATGCTGCAGATTGTTCATTTAGGCTCTAAAACAAAGAGAGTTGAGAATCTGTGCAAGTATAAAATAATTTAAGCCTTGCTGGATTGAAAAGGGCACAGTGCATGGGACACCACCTGTCAGCTCCACTGTGTGGAACAGTTTCCAATGAACCAGGCAACCAGTGACCTCCTAACAGCACTTACACTCATTTTATGAGTCTGGTGTATTTTTAGGCAGACAAAAAGCCTTTCTGTTCAGTTTGCCAGTCAGTGTAGAGGATTGCATTAAGAAAAGGACCTTGAGCTCTTGTGGGAACTGGTGTAACTACAGGACCAGTTATAATGTTGAAAAGGACATCTGTCAATATTCAGCATTCTGATGACCAGACAGTCTTTTTGGCAGGAGCTCAACACTTCAGTTAGAGGGCAGCACACTAGAAAAAGTAAGTAGTGGTTTACCAAACTCTGCTACTTTCAGGTGTATCTGTGGTGGTGTAAAGGAAAACTTTACTAGATAGTAGATCTATATAAATATATATAGAGAAAGTGTGTATATATATACAGTAGAGGCTATGTGTAACACATTTAAGGTGTTAACACCTCTGCCCTTATATGATACAGGCAACATCCCAGCCAACTGTTCAAACCTACACTTCCTCTTCAAACCCTCCTATCCTGCTGTCTACTAGAGTACATACATTTTTTAAAAAAAAACACTAAAAAGAGGTATTTTTCTGTAGTATCCATGAAAGGACTCTCAAATCTCAGTTCAGCCAGGTCAGTGGCTTTAGCACTTGGAAAACACACCCCAAGGGCTGTCGGAAAGCATGGCCCCACTGCCATTGCATTTGGCTCATTGCTATGTTTGCGCCAACAAAAACCATCAGGACAAGTCAACAGTTCATATCAGGCCACTGCACGCTGACCGGAAAACAGTCCAGACTTGAGAACAGCCCCCGGCACTGTGGAGCTGAGGCAGCTGACACAGTGTCACTTAAAAATAAGTATTAGTGGAGGTCATGTGGAGTGCTGAAATCTTTTCAGAGAGAAATTTTACATAGAGAGGTTTACCAGAGCACACAGCTTCTGCGGCTGCTGGGCCTCGGTGCTGCTTTCTTGCTGATTTAATAACTTACTGAGAGCTCTATAAAATGCGGTCACCAAACCTGGTCCCCATGTAAATAACTCCATTTATGCCACTCTCAAGGGCAGAACCACCGGTTCTAACCTGTGATGGTGCAGGCACCACAGAGATGGAACGCTCTTCTGAACCAATTTTATTCATTCTATCAAAAATATGCACTTCAACAAAATACATCCCCAGCACCAGGATTTCATTTTGGAAAGCTTTTCCAAAACCATTTTCAAGGCAGAAAAACAGAGAGGTATCAGCAACCCAATTCAGGAGAATTCCAGAGGATGCCTGGAGACAGACTCCACTGATAGGGCCAAAACTCTTCACTTGGATACATCTTTAAATACGCACACAGCTGGAGAGCAAGTCTCTGCCTTTGCTGGGGATGAAAAAGTCACATTCAGCATCCAGTTCTGAATCAAGCAAAACAGAACAAAGCTGAGTATTTTCTAGTTAAGACAGCACATCAGTGGATTTAATCCAGAGCTTAGTAAAATCATAGGGAAAATTATTAGTCTCACATCACTGCCAGCTGCTGGGAGAAATAAGCAGTCTCCACTGGTCTTTCTTCACTAACTTGAATAGTTGTGTGTAAGTAAAAAATATAAGGGAAAAAAATCTATAAAAATAATATTCACAGAATGGTGTTCACAGTTTGGATTCAATCCAAGAGCACAGTATTGTGTGTACTATTTTGACATTACTTCATTGCATGTTGCTCCAGCAGGGAGAAAATGAGATGGTTTTATCAAGAGAAGAAAAATCTCCTCCACGTGGGGAGCAAACTTACCCTACTCTGCCCCAAGCTTTCACCTTGCAATCTCAGCTCCCCTGTCAGCTGGCACACCTATGGCACAGGCAGGGTGCTAGGTGCCTGAAAATATGGTCAGAAAGGCTCACTCACTACTATTTCACAGAAAGAAAACCATCTTCCATTTTATTTGGGAAGCCCTCAACTTCATAATTTTCCCTCTGGAGGATGAGATCAGACCCTCATTCCCAAGGACACTATAGAATATTAAGCCATCTAATGTGTGTCTTTTAGGGAAGGTAAAGACCAGTATCCTGCTGGATACATGATCTTCATCACTGCTTTTTTTACATTTTTCCATGATAAAACAAAAGAGTCTTGCCCATAAATAATACCATCAGGACTTTATCTCCAATTTAAATTTATCTGCTTCTGTGACACTATTTTCAGATGTATCTTTTTATCTTTATTGGCATGTGACTGTATTTCCTTATTAGCTTTCACATTTTCCGTTCCTTTTTTAACTTCTACTTAGTATAAACTGGTTTGTGGGCCACTGTGCTCCATCCCCCAGTTATGGAGTAATACATGAAGAGGCAGGAATGGTGGAGAAAAGCATGTCTAACACATGGATACTGGTAATACAGACTCGGCTACATTTTCAGAGAAACTATAAATCCTTTTATATTACAGAAGTCCAACTAAAAGCTTAGATTACAGAGGTACAATACACTGTTCACAGTGTAATCCACAATTGTTTGGAAAAAAAAACCCACCCCAAAACAACCTGAAGCCTAGCTGCTTGAGCAGATTATAGACATGTGCAAATAATACAAGTGGGAATTTATCCCAGAACATCTTCTACCCTAGTATTCCTGCCTTTGAGCTCCCCCTCTCCCTCCCATAAATCTATTTCTGTTCACTCCAACTCTGCTCCTGTACTCCAGCAGTTCCCTGGCCCTGCCTCTCATTTTGCCTGGATTATCCAATGACACAGTTTATATGAGGACTTATTGTCAAGTCCTGGTTCTAAGAAATGTGGAAATACCTCAACGAATTCTGCAAATCAATAAACCACATACGTAAAGCTCTTCACTGGCAGGCTGCCCCAACAGCACCTGACTTTCATTCTGTGGTACTGTTCCACAGAGATTAACTGAGCACCGCTGTAGAAACAGCAGGGTCACTGGCCCTGCCTGCCTCAAGAGGCTGTTGGAAATCCCCTGGTGCTCAAATTCCAGTCGTAGAGATCCAGCCTCTCCCTACTGTTCCCACACAGCAGCTGTGGGCTGCCCTTTACAGGCTGTGGTTTAGGTATCCTGAACCTATATGAGAGGGTAAAAGGCAAGGAGGGAGGAGGAAGGAGGTAAAATATTTTTATGAAAATTGTCTCTTTTTCTCAAAATGTCCAAAGCAAGCACCCAAACCTCTTGTTTCTCTGTTATCCATATAAAGCTCTCTCACACTCACATTCTTTGCTGAAGTATTACACAGCTACAGAACTGCTTCCTTCAGGTGAACAAGACAGAGATGCTCAATGCAACCTGGAGTGAATACTGTTATTTTGTAAACCCAGCGCTGAAACTGAATTGTCCTGAATGACAGTATTTGCACCAGAAATAGAGTTGTGTGGATCAACTTCTGCTCAGCTGGCACAGTCCAGCTCCAACTGAGCCTGCTGTCCAGGCTGCCCCTTCCTCCCGGCCACTGTGCAGGGATTTGAGTCCAAATAGACAGTGCCCAGCACAGCATTTTGAGGCAAACAAAACCTCATACAACAGCCTCAAAGGCAGTAAGTGAGAAGCTGACCCATGAGCACAGTGGACATGAGTGCCAGGGGGCTCACTGCATGACCAGTCACCTTGCTGCTCCAACCTCTTCCCAGCAGTGACATCAGACTCTGGCATCTGTCCAGCTGCTGCCAGAATAACTGACAGCTGTAGAAAAGCAGGTCTAAAAACCTACATCAAGGAAAAGGTGCTAAGATACACAATGACATAATGCTAAAAGTTTATTGGTGTGACTGGTATGTTTGCAGTGACTTTTTACTATCATAATGATAAGCCACAGCTTACAATAAATAGAATCTTAAACTTTATGTTTGTTCATTCAGGTTTTATGAAAAAGTCAACAGACGCATGTGTCCCAGATAAACTGGAAGTAAGACACACGTCAACCTCACAGATATATATATATAATGAGGTTCAGTAAACAATTTAACAGGCAATGACTGTAAAGCAAGCCTCTGATGACCACTTATCATAATCTAATACTCTCTGTTTAACCCTCCAAAGCTTATGCTCACTGCAAAGCAGAAACAAAATGTACTGTTTGCCCCAAGCAAAAAGATAAAAGTCATAAAGAGCTTTATTCAGCATGCAACAAGACTCTTTATTACCTCTGATAGCCTCCTTTTCCTGTTTGTTTTTACCTGCCACTCTGCTGTGTGATTGCTTGTGTGCCACTAACCTCCAGCCTACAGATCTGAAGTGTGTTCTGCAAACTAAGTGGCAGTTCATAGAAAACACTTTCCAATCAATTTTCTTCCTTTTATAACATAAAGATACCATTGACCATGCGCAATCATATTGATCATGTACTGCTGCAATTTAAATGGGTAACAATGCCCTGGTGTTGGGGGATGCTGATCCTGCAGCCCCTGCTCTGACAAGCATTTCTTATATCACCAACTCTAAAGGGTCATTTCTGGGGTAGACAATATTTACCCCACCAAAGCACATTAAGAACCACCCTTCTGTTGGGGACCATGACCTATGGCACTGCTCTATGCAAGCTCCTGGATTCCAGGGCACTGTGAACACCACACACAATGGCACAGGAGGAATCCCAGACTGTTAACTGCCATCTCTTTCCACTGTTCTGATAAGCACTAATACATCTGACAAGCCCACATGACAGCCCAGCATGTACTTACTCATTTTGACAACTGAAAATGTTTGACAGGGGAGCACAAGTGAAAACTGGAGAAACTCTCCCTGAGATACAGGCAATAGGGGAAAAAAAAAATATTTGTTGTTCAATTCATTAATCCATAAATTTTAATTGAGGATTCTATTTGTGCATTTAGGGGATCTTTTCAAAGAGAGGAATAAACAAAAAAAAGGAAAAGGCATTCAATTAATTATCTGTTATCATTACTCCATTAGGATTCAGAGGGGGATAAAGCGTGGTTTCCTGCAGTTAAACAGACAGTGCAGTTGAGCTGCCAGCTGCTCTCAAATCTTGACTGTGCTGCATAAAATGATAGAGAGGGTAATAACACAAAGGACAGGAGGTATTGCCAACCCATAGTATCCTTAGGACATAAGGTTAGAGAACATAGAAATATCCAATTTAAGGACATCATCAAGGTCCTAAAAAATGCGTAAAACTCCAGAATAATTTAACTTTTTCCTGAAAATAGTCCTTTGAGATCTCTTGGCACAACCATGATGACAAAGAACAACAGCATGCGCTGGGCTACCATTACCTTGTTTGTTGGCATCATTCCCCATGGGAAAACTGTGGGCACTTAGAGCTGCTCCCTGCCTTGCGCCAGCCCTGTAGATGCACAGGAGCAAGGCCAAGGCAGTGCAGGAGGCAGTCTGCAGAAGGAACTCTCCTCCTCCTCCTCCTCCTCCTCCTCTGTCTTCCTTGACCAGGCACTTTGGCATCGTTTTGGAACCACGACCATCAGTTACATGAGCCTTCTCATCAGTACCTCGCTCCAGTTGTGAAAGCTGCCTCTCTGGACCTGTGAGAGAGACTTGCTTCCAGGAGGAGGAGAAAAACCTCCCAGTATTTACCAGAGAAGAAAGGACCAGCCCTCCCCCCCTGCTTCAATTACATTTATTTTGTTATGCACCATATATTCTTTTGGCTGATGGCTAAAGAATTGCTTACATTGCCAGGTGAAGGACTGGATTACTGGATTTTACACTTACTTTAGGTCATGACCTTTTAATTATATTGCTGCCCAAACCATATTTGAGCCATGCCTTCAGCTGCTCTGATTGAATGCAGCAAAGGGCATGAGTTGGCAGTGCTCACACCCCAGAGATTCATAACTTTCCTCTGGCTAAGGCCAATGAGATTCACAGTCCTGGCTGAGCTCAGACGTCTGTGGAAATGGGTTGGAAATTAGAGACCAGCCCTGTTCACATGATTTCATATCTTTCCTTATATCACTTACCCTTACAGTGAAAACAATGTAAAGGGGAGGATTTTTCTCTTGCTGTGACGCAGATGGTAGCTGGACATTCACTCTTGAACAAATAAAAAGTATTTTAACTACATCTTCTTCTAAACCCTTAAAAAGTGGTCAGCCCTCTTCTGTACCAGTGCAGAGTGACTTCCCCATTTTTGGAGTTCCAGATATTTTATAAACAAAAAGAAGTTCTTAGACCATCCCAGAGAAACACTGTTTGGCAAGTTTCCCCATTATTACCCATTAATCCTAACATGTCCTGCTCATCTTAGGCAAACCTTCCTGAAAAGATGATCTGAACATAGTATAAAGAAAGGGGGAACAATGTAAAGTTGACATTTTACCTAACTCCAAAAATTTTCAAATTTCTAAAAATATCATTTTCTGTTCAGTTAAGTGCCTTTTAATGACTTCTTCCTGTGTTTTCCTGGAAATTCTGACCCTTTTCATGAGGGAAAACCACAATGCTGCAATTCTTCTGGATTTCTAAACTTAGCTCTTGTTAGTGTGATGTTTTTCCTGGATGCAATTATGACCACTGAATCTGCTAGTAATGGAGGAGGAATAAGTGGTGGTCTTGATCCAGCTCTTAATAGAAGTGCTAAAAAGTGCCCCTTCTGGTTATGGGCTCCAGACTCCTGACATTTCACTGTTTTATCCACTGAACTCATCGCCTGCACTAAAGCTGTGAGATAGAGAGCCAATCCACTTAAAATCTTGGTTCTTCCCTGTATCACTTCCAAATTCTTGGACTAAAGATGGGCCTGGAAACACCTCCTGCCTTCACAGCAAATCACAGCAAGGCTGATGGAGAGCAAGTGTCAGAGGCAGGAGGCCCTTGGGACCACCCTCCAATTTGCATCAAGCAAGAAGAAGCCTCAGCACCTCTGTCAGTGCCAGCTGAGCCTGCGTGGCACTGGCTGCAGTGTCTGACTCTGCAAGGACACCACGGCTGATGCACACCTACTCCTTAAGGCAGCTTCTCTTGGGAGACAGTGGTCTCTGGGAAGAGTCTAAACAAAACCCCATGCAGCAAAAGGAGAGTGAGTCCAGGTACCTAAACTCACACTTGACACCTCAGATACCAGTGTCACCCTCTGAATTCCAGCTGCCTCCTTCTGCCTGAAATCCCTGCTGAGTGGCTCTACGTGATTTTAAGAAGTCACCTAATTCACATCCAGGCTGTGTAGGGAGCGCAGGCCAATGCCCCTATGTTTACCCTCCCATACTAGCCACATAGGCACAGGGGCAAGCTTTATCAGCCCATGTTAGTTCCAAGCCCATTATTTCTCACCTGGTTTGTAAAGTGCCCTGAAAGAGGAAAGGCCCTGTATAAACACAAAACATTATTATTGCCAGCATCCATTGAAATGACAAACCAACATCCATCCTCTCCAGGTCCCAGCAGCTGTACTGCCACCATTTGCCATCTGTTACTATTCTAGAAAAAAATCTGTGAACTCAGGCTTAATAGACTTAATAATGCTCTTTTGCAATTGTTGCTGGTCAAAGTGTGTTCCTGGCCTGGAAAGGAGCTGTGTGCAAGCAACCGATTCCTAGGCAGCTGTCAGGCAGAGCATACAGTCAGATGTGAGCACACAGCTGATTTTATTGATAAAAATCTTGTTTGACTGCCCTGGAGAGCCCTGCTGAGCCACCACAGCTGAGCCCAGGAGCTGCTCCTTTTCCTCCCTGTGCCTCACCAGCATGGTTTGTTGACTAAACCTTGGTGACGGCACCAGCCACTACACCCACGGACATCCACTCAAAAGGAGCAGATGTTACCCTGCCACAATTAACAGCTTGACATCCCAGCCTCGCCATCCCAGGGATCAGCCTCTCTAGTCCCAGCTTTTTCTGCTTAGTTGGTGGGAATGGGAGGTGGGTTTTTTCCTTGTAACTCGTTTTAATTGTATATGGAAATTATGAACCTACTAAAAAAAAAGTTACCAGACAAAAATGTTTCTATCAGTGAAGGCCATTTAGCCTTTAATTCATTCTCGACCAAATCTTGTCTGTTAGAGGCAACACCTTTGCAGACTGTGGCAAGTCTGTTGACTAAGCCTTAGCATGGACTGAAGGAGTTGTGTGAGGTGAGGACTGTCCAAGGTAAAGAGGGGGAGCCAACTCCAAGCAGTTGGCTTTCCCAGGAGGTGTTAAAGGCCGTTTTATGAGGGTTGTTTGTGTACACACACAGGTTCACTCTGGGGCTGCATTAGGTTCCATGATACCAAACTCAGATGCCATTTTCAAGGTAGACCTTAATAACCTTTTCAAAAATTCAGACTTGAAACAAAGTAGCATTGTACAGAACCCAACTTCAGAGGAGAGCAAGTTGAGCTTAGTGCATAAGGAAAAAGCTCAGTCTGGACACAGACCAGCACAACACAGTATGCTGCCCCGAATCCAGCCTCTAACAGACTGATCTAACTGACCTCTAACACGTACTGATCCTGGCATCAGTATCTCCTCTAGCACTCTGTCCAACAAGAGCAAGAGACTAACATACAAAGTCACTTGCTGTACAAAGATAGAGGTAATTTTTAGACCAAAAAGGTAATCAAAATATGAAATAACTAAGACTAAATCAGTAATTAGAGTAATAGTAACAGAAGAGCTTGAGCTAAGAACAGAGTTACTCTGGGTATAGATACTAAGACAGAGCAGCTGTGCTCTGAGCCATCCTCAGCTCAGAGAGGCAGAGATGGGCTCACATGCCAGAGGAAGGTGATCTGCTTTCCCCACTCTGGGTTGTTCTGGAGGCTGTTTCCCTGCCTAGCTGATCTTGCCTCCTCAGGAACTTAATGAATTTCAGTTCTCCATTGCCAAGACAGATTAGTCCATGCCATACAGATTATTTGGCTGAAATTCTTTTCTCATCTGTTCTGAAGAGGGTAAACAAATGCCATTCCTTGAACCAGAATCTGATCTCACATAGGTAGGGCCAGTCTGAAACAAATGCAGTGCAAGTGGGCTTGTCAATCTGCTACCCCTGCAAGCTGTCTAGAAAGGCATGAAATTTAAGTTGTACCAGTCTGCACCTTTCTTAAGAATATTACAGAACAAATATTAGGTTTATTAATGAAGAAAAGCTGTCTTGAAAGCAGCTGTCAAAGAAAGGGGAATGCAGGGATGTAAGGAAGAGAGCCATCACGCAGAGAGCTGTGGGATGCACAACCTACAGCGGGAAGCTGCCTTGCTCATAGCCAAATGAACACTGCAGTCTGCCCTGACAGAGCTGCCTTTCATGTGCCTTAGCAGTCCTTTTTTGTACAGCTTAGATTTGCCTTAAATCTGTCCTCAATGTAATGGCACAGCATCCTTTTCCTCTTGCTATAAACAATGTGTTGAGTAAACAGGCTGAAAATAGGGCTGGCAGGGAATGGAAGAAAGCAGACCTGCTTCTCTCCATCCTCACTCTCTCTTTCCTTGGATATTCTCCAGACTTAACCTACTTGGGTCTTCCTGTCTCATGCACCAAGTTTGCACCCTACGATCTGATCAGTCAATGGCTGGATGCCTCCCTAAATCATAGTTGGTCCCTCCTTGATTTGGGCTTGGGCTGAGGAATTCACTGGCCAAGCAAAGATGTCCCTGACCATGACTCATGGGCAGGGGCCAACACACTCTGGTGTCAATGGAGACATGCTGAGCATGTACCAGATTGCTCATAAATGGCCTTGGTAACAAACCAGCTCCACTCTGCTCAACTTTTGTTAAGTACTGAACTGATTAGAGGTTACCTAAATGAAGGCTTGGGTGTTAAAGCAGTAGCAGGGTGATAATCATGGTAAGATATTTATTCTACTTCTGCACAGCAGAGTTTCCTAACTACAGTTAGGAAAAGAAACATAATTTGGACCCAAATTAACTCCAAGGTGATAGTCTTGTTGCAGGCTACAGCACAGTTCTGGTATGCCTTACAGTGCTGTGCTGCAATTGTGAGGCTTTTCTTCTGATGGCCTTAACATACTTTTTTTTAAAATTGGTGGCCAGTGTTACAAAAGCAGGTTATACAAAAAAACTCCCATGGGGTAGATTTAGATCACAGAATTCCATACAGCCCACATGTGTTTCTCCTGTGTCCTCACACTAAAACTGGCAATGAGGCAGGTACAGCCACAGTATGCACATGCAGCGAGGATGAGGCTGGAAGACAAACACTGCCATGAGGGACAGGAAATGACTGAGAGCTACTTACATTCCTGTCCATAGTCAGTCCTCCAAACCCAGCATCCAGCCCTATAGCAAGGAAAGAGGTTGAGGTACCTGAGGTTGAGCTTCACAATCTGCTAGGAAGAGGAGTAATACTCCTTACACTATGGATGAGCAAAGAAGGAGTGCCAAAGTTTGATGGCTTCATCAAGACTATGTGAACTGTGAGAGAAGTAGTTCATGCAAGTAGAAGAATAGAAAGTAAAAGAAAATCTGTTCTGGACCTCCTGGTCAATTCATAACTATTTACTAATCCCATTGGATTACTAATCCCATGGAGAGTTACTTTCACCTGCAAACACTTCAGGGACTCTGATACAATTACATCAGCAAAAGTCCAATGCAAAAGGTTAAAGTTGATTCAGCAAGAGCAATAATGATACTGGCAGGGGAAAAAAACCTCTCATGCCCTCCTTTTCCCAGAAAGGAGTCCAAAAATCAGTGTTTCCCAGAACACCGTCAAAAGCTTCCCTCCAGATGTTCCACAGGGTTTACAGGATTCGTGTCAAGGCTGGGTGGAGAAAGAGCAACAAGAAATGATCAATCACATGAGAAACTTGGACTAGGGAGTCCCAAATGTATTGCTGGGTGGCATCTGCTTCTGTTTTATTCCTAAGGACTTATTAAACTTAGTTATCTTTGAGGTGCAATATGTGGGTCTATTAAAAGAGAAAATACATTTTTGCATTAAAGTACACAGTAAACATGTTCCAACACGAAT